TATTAATGATTAATGAAAGTATAATCCATAATATTAACGAAAACATTGCTATTCATACTAATGGTGAATGTTTCCGTTAACCGTTAATATCATTTAAGAACATTGACATTAATATTAATGATTAATGAAAACATTAATTTTAAAATTAATGTTAATGTTTTTCATTAATCATTAATATTAATGAATTAAGTTTTTCTTAGAAAACATTAAGCATTAATATTAATGGTTAATGAGAAACATTAACATTAATATAAAATTAATGTTAATGGCCCACCCCTACTTGTGTGTCGATATCATATATTTACTGAATCAGTTTACAACAAATGAAGTTATCTAGTATTCTCTTCGTGTCACTCTGGGGATATAATGATACCATGAATTACTTACCGTTTTTTTTTTCTCAATGAAAATTGAATAGAAATAAGTAAGTAACTAAGCAAGTAATATACTTTTATGTAAAATACAATGACTAGATTTAATCTATAGACATAAACACTAATATTTTAAATACCAAAAACAACAAAGAATGAATGATAAATGAATTAATAGCTTCTTTTCTTTATTCTCAAATACAAATGAATACACATTAGTTCTTTTAGAGTTCCAATTCAAAGAAGAAGAAAAAAAAGATGAAATATCTTGATTATTGAATTGAACATATTGATTTCTCTCCAGCTAACAGAGAGTTTAATGAATGCTGATGTTTAGTCGTAAGTTGAACTTTAGCTTTATCTTTTGATAGATTTTGATGTTGATTGAAAGATTCTGACCAAAGACAATGAAATTGTTGATTGAATTGACATTTAGGACCGAATTCATATAGATAATTGAGATGAATTAAGCAATCATTATCATTGAATGTTTGAAGTTTATCAGACAATTCATATTGCATAGTCATAAATCCAAACCAATCATGACGAAATTTGTCATATATGGTTTGATCTTTTAAATATCGCATGGTATCAGCATGAAAATAACCGAAGAAATGCTGAACATTATTTTCAACAAAAAATATTGAGTAGCCATTGGCCAGACAAGTCAATTCGAGATAAATACGTTCAAGAGTAAAATCTTCGATCAATGAACAATAACAAACAGCCCGAATTAATGCTGATCGAAACCAATCACCATGAGCTAATTTCGAATGACCCACTACATACGGTAATGTATATCTAGGAAGAATAGGATGATGATACACTCGAGTGAATAATTCACCATTTTGATTTTCAACAAATGCATTCAAGAATGGTACATTTGTTCCAATTAATTTCTGGAATTGCACATTAGGCTTTTTATCTCTTATAGTTTGTAAAAAACTGCCAAGTTGTTCTTCATTCCCATTATTCCATGTGAAAAATATTTGATCTTTATATCTATAAAAGAATTCAATCAATTAAAACATATAGAAATTCACACAATTCGACGAGGTGTTACCTTCCGAAGAATTCATTCTTTGATTTTATTTCTTTCAAGATTTTCTTTTGCCATGTAAATAGAAAGATATTGGACAGTGTATCCGATAATGGCATCGTATTTGGACTACCTTTCATTAATGTATATATTTTATCTTTATAATAGAACACATTATTATAGAGAAATATATGTAGTAAATTTTTAATAGTCTGAATTGTAACTTGTTCAAGTTTATTGGTAACTAAATTATCTTCCAAGAAGTAACCAACTGTATCAATCATATTTTTATGTATATCTAATGTATAATAATTAATAATTTTGATGGTACAAAATAAAGTAGTTGCTCGAAGATGACGTTCTACATACACATAATCGTTTAATTTTCGCATGAAATCAGGTTCATCACGAAATGTTGTTGTCGATAGGTTCTTATCGACAAATGGTCGTAGTAATTCATTTAGATATTTACCAATTCTCCATGTGACACTATGTTTCGATGTAATGTAGGGTACTAATGAAATTTCATTTTCCTATTTCAAGAATAAAATATAAATATACAAAAGATGAAGTACAGAATTAAGTCTATATTACTTTAGAAACATCCGGTAAGAAATACAAATATGGTAATTTCACTTTACTTGCATCAACTAATAATCGATTAAACAGATCGATATTTACTGCTTTATGGTTTTTCAATGATTCCAACAATAGATTTATTGATTCGACCATTTGTTTCAATTCAATTTGCCATTGTTGACCACCATTGTCTTTATCTTTATTCAATAGCACCTTATAAGCATCTGATTTTGATAAATAATCATACGCTTTTGTTTCAAACTCTTGGAGATTTCCCAAATAAAACGTATTCATATTATCAGCAGTTCGTCGTAGGATTAGATTGTTCGCGTTTAAAGAATATCGAATCGATTGAAGAAGATGTTTTTCATAGAGAGCACGCTGCTGAAGATTCGATGGTATTGGTACAGAAAAAAGATCTGTAAATTGATCACTTATCTTCTGTTCAATTTCCATTGATAATGCAATATTAACATGATATTTTGAAAATAAACAACTGAGTTGATGTTTTAATGGTGCATATTTCTTTTTAATAATATCATCGACAGATTGACCCGAAGATGATATTGATATTTGACCAGGTGGAACATAACTAGGTCCTCTATTCAGTAATTGTAATTCTTTATCAGATAATTGATGTATAGCGTCTATAATTAAAGATGATGAAAACCCAATTCGTTTCATCTTGTCTCCATCTGCATTCGTGTTGGTGGGTTCGAAGTCACTATAGAAGTTTCGGAAATAACAATTCAGTCGGTAATTGTAGACATCTCTCCATCGATCAGCAATACCGGTGAAACGCTTTTCAATAAGATCCGTTAATGTTGTAGACATTCCTTTGTTTTTTACAAGCTCACGATGGTTTTTCCACATAGCAGCTAGTTCGTGATCGAATGCTCGAAGACATTGATAGAATTTTATTTCGGCTCCTATTATTTTAATAGCCACAAAGTCAAGTTTCTTTCGTTGAATTAATTTTTCATGTTTATTCAACAATTTTAGTTTTCTATCGTCATCATTCAATATTGGCATAGTTGTTTCAATGGCATCTAACGAAGAATGTGGTTTATTATAGAAGACTCTATATTTCATTTCTAATAGTTCTCGTTTCGACTTTTCTAGTTCACGTTTTTTTTCAGAAAGATGTTTCATAACTTGAATCTAAACGATAGAAAAGAGAAAGATATGCCATTATTTTAAACAGAATATAGATTTTACTTGATATTCATTTGGTTTTTCTTGTAGATATTGACGTCTTAAAATTTCTGAATCATAATCATGGTTAGTCATTGCTATTTTCAAATTCCGTTTCATTTCAAGTGGTTTCACACCATGCTTTTGAACAAAACTTTGAATAGTTTGTTCGATATTCGATGTAAAGTCGATTAAATTGTTTTTCTTTTCGTTAAATTGATTTTGATGATATTGAATTTTTTCATTCATTTCTATTAAACGTTGATGTAAATGTTTTTCACAATCAGCCTGCTGATCTTCTGTAACGCTAGCACAAGCCGTAGTTGTTGCTGCTTTATGTTGTGTTAACATAAGTGATTGAACATGGATAGGCCATACACGCCGGTCAACTTCGATGAGATGAGATTCAGATTGTTTTAATGTACCCATCACTGAATGTAAATAGGCTTTCATAACTTCTCTATCTGTTCGAACACTAGCCGCTTGATGTATGAATAGAGCTAGTTGTTGTATACTATTTATACTAATAGAAGTAGTTGTTTTTGTTATAGTTTGTGCCATATGAACAAATAGTTTGTTATTTATCGATAGATAGATCGGTATTTCATTTGTTTCAGTGCTACTCATTGTGGTGGTAGCAGTATATTCATCAGCATCGTCCACAATTAGCTTTATTTTCTTGCAGCTGGCATCTGGACTAGATATAGTAGTACTTGATCGTTGTCTTTTATTAATTACACCAGATTTCTGTTCATCTTCAGCCTTTGTTGATAATTGACTGAAATTTTGTGACAGAATAGCTTCTGTTTGTATTTCCTGAAGGACAAAAACAATTTATTCGTTTTAGAAACAAAAGAGATCTTACTTCAATGACATTTATGTCATTATCATAACTATCATCATCGATCATTTCATCTTCCTGTACCATTGAATTCACATGACCAGACAAGTAATATTTATTTAATTCATCCTCTGCATATTCAAGTGTATCGTTCTCATCATCGACAATATCGAACATGTCATTGAAGTCTTCGACTGTATTCCACTATGAATAAAACAAAATATAATAAAGATATGACTATGCTCACAGGAAGAAAAAAATTTTTCTACTTACATTTATATTTTCATTCACAGTTGATTGTTTATCTTTATTTTTTTCAGCCATCAATAGATAAAATAAGATTTCTTTTTCATATCTGAAATGAAGATATAACAAATTTTCTTCATGTTCGGATGATATATTTATTCAAATACACAACGAAGTTTCAATTTCATTACTTTTTCTAATATCGTTAGATATCTATCGGTCGGTTAAATCGAGAACATATTTTCTCGAAAATGGTGGTGTTTGATGTTCCATGAATGCATTAATGAGTGTTTCTATTTTACCACTGAAATGTAGATTTAAATCCATTTCTTTTTCTCCTTGTTGTGTTACTGGTTTTCGTGCTGGTCGAGCTACTCCATTGTGTTCTCCATGCACTTGTCGTTGACCTTGTTGATTTGTCTAAAGAGAAACAGTAGAATACGGCATACATTCGTTGATATAAAGAAAACTCTCACATTGCCTGGTTTCTTTAATACTTTTGTTTTCAAAAGTTTTGATAATTTTGGGCTATTGAATACAATAAAGCAATATTGCTTTTTATTAACCTCATCATCTTCATCATCATCATTATCATCATGATCGATATTGTTCCGTGTTTCTAGTCGATCTATATTAGGTAAATCACTAATATCCACCTCTTCTATATCACTATCTTCAACATCCATGGGATGTCCAGTAAATAAATATAGAATAAATCTACTTAATCCTTCTGTATCGAATTCCATGTGTTACTGATGATAGCTATCTAGAACAGGAAAATGGAGTACAAAAGAATCAATCTTCAGTTTATCTATCTTATAGCTATAATATCAAGTTTCACATGATTATATGCATCAATATCCAAGACAAAAAAAAAACAAGAAACAAATTAATGTCGTCGATGGATGTCGGATAGATCAAGAACCATACTAATTGGATAGGGTCGTCGAGTTCGTTGAAGATAAGCTCGAATTGAATCTTCCAATTCAAATCTTAATTCATTGTATAAGAATCGTTCATGTTGTTCAGAATGATCCACTCCAATATTAACCGACCTATTTGATATGAATATGCCACCTTCACGTTGTTCAATATATTGCTAAAATAGAATAAAGAAAACATTCTTTCGATCATTTCAATTTACCACGTCTGGCGCTTGTTGAAAACGTGATGTATTTTGCAGTAAAGTAGGATGATTTGTTAGTGTGATCAGAAAAACTTGATCACTTCTATTTGCTGACTGTTGTGTCTGTGTTCGTGGTCTATTTGATGAAGTCATGAATTAGAATCAATAATCTATAACAAAGTTTCACATTTTATCACAGGTCTGTAGGAAAATATATAGAGAAACCAAAAGAAACGAACAATAGAAATAACGCATATATTTACAAAACAAAACAAAACAAAACAGAAAGGATCTCGATGACTATTTTAATAATGTTTCGGTGGCCAAACCATTCCTTTCTGGAGCCATGCCGGTGATAATAACTCCATTGTAACGAATCTCTGGGTCCGAACTAATGATGAACAGTTCGTATAAAAAATCTCTTGTTTCATGTCAATATCATTGTTTGAAGAAGACATTTCTGTTCGAGTGATAGAAAGTATCTAGAATATAAATTTAATAATCTATACGAGACATTTGGATGTATTGTTTCATATAGATTCAATTTCATTTTATACATGACAATAACACGAAAATATTTAATAATACACAAAACAACAGAACTAATGGAAATGTTATTGCTACTATTTAGGGATGTGGTTGTGGTATTTCAATATCAGACATATCAAATACATAATGAAGTGGATACTCTCGACGAGTTCTAGAAAGATAATCACGAGCTGCTTCGCGTAATTCAATTCGTAGAAGATCATTAAGCATTCCTTCACGAACATTAACAGTCTGATGATGATGATGATGATGATTTGCATGATTTTGAGTTGGAACCGTAGCTTGTCTTGATTGTGCAACCTACAAAATGATAATCATAGTTAAAATAGAAGTCTCTAAGCAATAGCCATGTAGATATTACCGGTGGTTGAAAAGCACGAGTATTTTGCAACAAGATAGGATTATTCGTAAGAATCATGATAAATTGCCGTTGAGGTGCACTTGCTGATCGAAGAATTTGTGCCGTTACACGATTTTGCGTATTTCTCGATGGACGTATACTTGATGGTCGAGCATTAGTTGAAGGCATTAATGAAAAGATTCGATAGGCTAGAATATATGTCTATACACTAAGAGATGACAGCAAATGAAAAATTCTATGGAAGTGCTACTCATTTTTGTATTCTCAATTCAGTTCATGTTTACTTTGATTTTCATCAGAAGATAAATTGATGCATCGGACAAAAATAGATCTATGTTTTTGATTCTTCTCTTTGTTCTTATAGAATCTCGAATGAGATTAATAGAAACTTTGTTTATTTTTTACATAGTACAAGTTTCAAACTATATCAGTAGGTTTCTTAATTGAAATAGTAACACTAAAGCTTATTTCATGGCAATGTTCAAGACTCCAACGCATGTTAGCATCATATGCATATCGACGACCAGGACGCTTCATAAAGTCATTGATTGCATCTTTGAATCGCTCGATCAATCCATCTTCAACTAATATTTCATGTTGCGTCCACGATGGATGCGGTGACGCATTATTTACCATAACAGGTCTTCCTATTGGATTATGATCACTACTGATATGAAAATACTGTAATCGATTAGCTAATTGTGCAGTTTGTATTGCTGTTCGATGTTGTTCACTTTATGGAATTCCATTCTGATTCGTATCAACCCATATCGATTTAAGGTGTCGTAGCTCATTATAAGGACGACTCTAAACTCTTGGCTGCGATGAAGGTGACGATATTATTTGTTGACCTTCATTTGTTGATGATGAAGCTGGTGGTAACACTGGTGTTGGTGTTGGTGCTGTCGTTGATGTTGATGCCATACCGATTGAAATTTAGAGATTATCTAAAACGACATACAGATGAACGAATGTTTTATATTCTCAATAAAGCTTTATTCAATTTCATTTGTAAGTAAATACATCGAAAAATGAACAATAAAAACAAAACACAATTAAGTTATACATCGTGAACTACTCATGTTGTACTCTTCGACTGAGGTCGACGTAATAGTCCTTGATACCATTCATCACCTCGAATTAACCATGGATTATTCATTGGATGATTATTACCAGTTGAATTCTTGTTCAAAATATTACCAATTGTATTGAGATTTGTTTCAGCATGAGTTATAAATAATGATTCAACAGTGATTCGAAGCATTTCAGAACATGTTTCTGGTACTGAAACGATAAAATAAACGGGTTTTTACATACATCTATATGTGTATATTTGAATCTTATTCGAACTAAACATACGAACAGCTACAATGGTAGCATTATATAAATCAATATTTTGATTTGGTAAATCTTTATCTCGTTTTTTATTAAAATAGGACAATTGCAATCCTATTTGTCGATTGGAAAACGTATAGCCAGTCGATGCTTTCGGAACTGATTCAACATATATTGTGCAATCTTCCATTTGTCGTAGATTCCAAGTAAGTTCGTCAGTAAACGAAATACCTTGAGCAGATCGTTGTTCTGGTCGTTCTGATTCTTCTATTGTCATAGGTACAAATCGCCAATATTGTTGGCTAGCATCCAAACATATTTGCATAGCTACTGTACATCGTACAGAATGCTGATAAAGTTTCATATGATCTTTTTATGATACCCTAGAACCATGAAAAAAATAGAGACAAGCATTTTTCTGTATATTTCTATACTCATTTGATTTTCCTCGTGGTAAATCACGTACAACATTTTCTTGTCCAATGAGAAATTCTACCATAACTCGATTACCATGTTCGCGATGTT